AAAAAAGAAAAATCGATGTACGCTTGAGACAGCAGGAATCAGTTATGCAGCAATTAAATGCACAACGCAGGATGCACAACGCAGGAGGACTATAAAATACCAGCTTGCTTTAGCAAACACACTTGCTTGCCACCAAGTACATCAAGTAAAATCTTATCACGTATCTCAATTTCAGTAAGGCTTGCCTGGAACAATGCTCGGAGAGGCTGCAGCATGTGCATCATTCTCTAAGAATCAGTATTTCTGACTCAAGTCCTCCTCTTCAGTCAGCATCGACCAGCACACTAGTACACCACTGGAGATGGTGGAAGACTGGGCACAGGTAGACAGATCAACTAAGGCAATTTACAAGGAGCAACTGGGCCTATTTTCTCAGCCATGCTGCCAGAGGTCAGAAGCATATTAGTGCCAACTGTCAACATTTAAGCAGCTCAAACGCTTCAACTCCTTCCAACTTCAGTGTTCAGGCCCTTTCAAAAGTGTCTCACATGAAATACACATCACCTTTCCCACCTCCCTCTGCTGCTTCATACTTTATGCAGGGCAGCCTGGTTTTAGCTATAAAAAAAAACCAACCAAAGACCCAAAAACCCCCAAACAAACAAACAAAAAACCCCAACAACCCAAAAAACCCACCCAAGTTATTCTGAAGAATCTAGGTATTTCCTGTGAAATATTTAAAACAAAAAAAAGAGGTAGTGAAAGATTTCAACCAATTCTGCAACAGGCAGACAGGTGACATACCTCTCAAACAGGAGATTTTCTGCAGCAAGCTGCTTTTCAGGTGAGTATTTCATATTCATGAATTCATCCCAGGCTCTTGCTGCCATAAAACTGCTGCTCTACCAACACAGAGGTGACTCCCTGCCCCAAAAGTAAGTTACATATCAATAGCTCTGATGCTTATTACAAATAACTGTTTTTTCTTGGGACCCTTACAACAGATCTGCTGAACTACAGAAGGCTGCTTTCTATCACAAATTGCCAAGTCCTTCATGCTGGAAAGGCAATGAGAAGAGAGGATTCCAGTGAGTGAGATGGTAGTCCAGCTATAATGCCAGTTTTCTTGAACAGCCACAGTAAGGACACTGGCAACACCCGTTACCCCTAGCATGCCTTCATTTTCACCTGAAGGACCCATCCTTGTGAAAGATAAGTACCTCAATCTGTATGTCCCACATGATCCCAGCTTGCCTCACTGCAACTCCTGCTTAAGGACACATGGTCATACTCTGCTCCCTACTACAGTCAGAGGGGAAATAGCACCTGCAGGTAATGCTGGGTTCCAACCTGCCACTCCAAGGTTAGGTGAGATAACTGATCACGAGCTAGATTGACCCAAGACTCCCCAAGATGCTAAGATCTACCTCTAAACATAACTCTGTTAAGGTAACAGAGCAGGAGGGGAATTGACCAGGGCGCACAAGGCCACAGGGGGGGGAAGGAAGGAAGGGAATCTTCTTCCCAATCTCATACACAAGTTGCTTGCCACATAAAAAGTCAAAGAGCCTTTCTGCGATGTGTTAGTTGATGACTAAGCCATGCTAATTAAAAACTCTAGCTTCACAATAGGGGTAAATACACATGAAAAATTAAAATCAAGAAGTGTCTGTTCCACAAAATGTTAGGGGGGAATTGGGGAGGAGGTGGGAAGAAGAGATCATTGTAGCTTAAATGGAAGAATATACTGTCTCTGGGATATAGTGGCCACTGAAAACCCATCTTCATTCCTCTCAACCACAAGGGTTAAGCTGATCTTCAAGTTACCTTAAAATAAACACCAAAAAAAACCCACTAGAAACTCAACCCACTCTCATCTAGAATCCAAACTAGCAGTTCATACATAAAGAAATAGGCAGAGGAAGTCTCCTCTGGCCTTCTATCAGTGGAGCAGAAATAAAATATTTGGGGAGAAAACCAGATACATTTTGAATATTCTGTACTGTTTCCTTTATTTTCAATACCAACAATGCCATACGCGCCCAGATTTTCTTTAAAAAGGAAACACTAGCCTGGACAAAAAAAAACCAAGTCAAAATATACACAAAGAAGAAACCCCAACATGTACGAAGGGATGCACTGGCCAATCCCAGAGTGGACACCATCATTACAAGCACTTGTTTTAGGCTTTCCACGTTACAAATGGTTCAGGCAGACAAGGAAGGAACAGACAAGAAAGCGCAGGTTAGAGAGCATTCAAGGCCTTACGTGAAGCTTTGCACAGGAGCTGTTTAGAAATGCTTCTGCCATCCTCCGTCTGTTCTCACTTCACAGGATAAAAATAATGGGGGAGAGGAATCCTGTGTTCTGTACTGCAACTTCTCTGCAGTCCTCTCTCTCACACACACACATAACATTTCAGGATAATTGTTTCAAATCATAGAAGATGAACAGGATGTTGCAAAATTATAGAATATGAATAACTCTAAGTACAGGGCACTCATTTGCAGGAAATGTCCTGCATACGCTAATCAAGAGTAAAGAAAAGAAAACCAACACCACATACGCCTCCCAGTTTTTATTTTCAGGTCATAAAAGCAATCACCACCCTGAAAATGAGCATTTCCTGGGATCTAACAACTGTTGGGTTAATCGTGGTAGGCAAAGGCAGTTATGCCCAGCCCATAATTTTGCCCACATAAAATGTGTCACACTGCATTTATTAGTGATGTCTCTTCAGGGTACTGTCAACAGAATCAACCTTAAAAATAATTGCTGTTTGGAAATGCTCATAAACCTCTTCTCACAGCTAATGCTTCCACGCAGGTTCACCTCAGGAAGCCTTTGCAACACGCTCTCCCCACCTGCGCACAGTCACTAGGCAAAAAGGTAAGTTTCAGTTCTGGACTCCCTGCCCCAAACACTTTAAATGAGCCTCCTCAGATGGGCATCTTCTGATGAAGCTTTTCTCCCTCCTCCTCAGTACCTTTTTACACACTTTTTTGAACTCAGCTCATCTAGACATTACGTCTGCATAGCCAAAAATTGGGCAGTTTGCAAAGAAATCAGATTTTTATATAATCACTACCAGCCTTTTCCAACTCTGCATTAGGAAAAAACGCTCTCTATCAAAATGAAACAGTCTGAGGCCAGACGCTAGCCGTGCAGAGCACTCAATCAATCAATGTCTTCTAGGGAAGTTCTTTAACTAGTCTAAATCCCTCCTGCCCCTATATTCTGTACTGATACTAAAGAGGGTCTCAAACCACCCTGTAGAGAGAACAGCCCCTAGTGAAAGACAGCAAACTCCCTTACAAATTCACCAGAAGGCCAGCTCAGCCAGACTCAGGACAGATTATCCACAGAGGATTGCCACCATCTAACCTCAGAGAACCCACTATCACAAACCAAACAGCTATATGAGGAGACCTGCTTTTAGAAGCGCAAGGATGAGCTTCTCATCAGCTTCATACAGCGGAGGAAGGCTAAAGAGGATAACTTGGTACACTTCTCCCCTTCCCTTCTTGATCTGCAAGACATGTTTTAACAGCTTTGCCTGATGCAATCATTTCACATCAGACCTAGCCAGCATTTTCACCACAGCCATAAATAAGATTTGTTGAAGAGACATGGTTTTAATGGACTAATTTTTGTGTTATATTATATGCAAAGTCATATTTCACTATATACTGAGGCTTCAAGCTCCCCTCTCTACTGCTGTGCAGTTTGTCTTTAGACTGGGAGCAGATCATTGGCATAAACCAAAACAATAGCTAGGTCACATGCACATTCCCTACACATACCCTAGAAAGCTTACAGGGCTCTTTGGACTAGTGATCATAAGTTAGTCTCTTTAACAGTATTTAAAAGCATTTGAGAAACAGTATTTGCTCACTCTGGCCAAGGATGGAGGAATGAAGAGACAGAAGGAAAAATACCTTCTAAGGTATTTTCAGCTACGTGCCAACTTGCATTCTTCAAGTTACATGTCCCAACATGTAACAAAAGATGCCACTATATTTAAGTTCAATGTGTCCTGCATCCACAAAAAGTTACTTTCTTATTTAATGATACAAAAAATAAACAGACGCATTTCTCGCAAGATACCAATTTAACTGAAGTGTACAAGTACCATTCAGGAACACAAAAAAAAAAAATCTCAGAGCATTTAGATGAGCATTCCTAATGAGATGTCCTCAAAACTCAAGCCTTTGTACTCATGGTAGCAATTGCAGGAAACAAGGACAACGGGCCAGCACAGTAAGAAGAATGGTAGCAAAGGAGCTTAATGCCTTATCACTCCTAGAGGGATCTGAGGGGAAGAGGGCGTAGTCAGAGGAATTATCCCTATCCCGATTAACATCAGAACAAAGGCTCACATTAGTTTGTCAGCGCTAGGACTCCCCTAGAGTACTGGATAATAACCTTGTTGAAAGCATTAGAGGGATTTCCTTCCCCCCCACCCCAATCTCCTTCCCTTCTCTAAAGGGGGTTAAAAGGGTGAGGTCCAAAAAATAGCTTTATTTTTAGTTCTCTGAAAGACATATCCATGTACTTTCTTACCACTAAAACATAAAACATACAACTTTCTGTGGTAGGTTTTCAAAGGTAAGATTTGGGAGCAGGTATGAAAAAAAAAAATCAAAATAAAACCTATTTTCTGTTCAAGAAGAAGTAGTCAGACAGTAAGGTGGCTTATCGTGCACACTTCGCTCTGGAAGGCAGGAGCTCAACAGCTTCTATAGCAAAACCAGGGAGTGGTAAGGGTGTGAAGAATACAAGGGAAAAACCCAGCTTGTAAACCCAGGTTAACAGAGGTGTCAGGAAAAAGGCTGAGGTATGTTTACAAAGGAGTCAGACCCTAAGAAGGTTTCAGAACACTAGCTTTTGAAACAGGAAGTAATGCTGCAGTAAGTGGCTGTCTCGCTGCTGGAGGAGATCATGGAAGGCAGCACATTCTGACTTGAGTCTACAGAAAAGTCATGCCATTTGGACAAAATGCAGGTTTAAAAAGCAGAGAGTCAGGAAAAATAAAGTAAGGGCATTGGCTTTCATCTTACCTGCTGTTGACACAAGCTGGCATACAATGGTTGTCAAGTTAATATGATTAAAGTAATGATTCAGGGACGACGGGTTGATTCACACACCTAGGAACGCACAAAAAACTAAGTATTAGCTATGAGTATATAGGGGATAAGAATGGCACTGTCACATAAAAGAGCCAGAAGGCTGAGGGCTAGAAGCAGCTCTATTCTGTTTTTAGGACACAGGCACACAGCTATGCTTCAGGTGCAGATGTTACCAACAATGTTCAGGTCTGGGTTTGATAAATAGTGCACAAGTTTCTCAAAAACAAAGAATATTCAAAACTATCCTCACACATTCCATTTAAAAATCTCAAGTATAAGAGAACAGATCAGTTTCAAGCATAGCAGAGTGTTACTGAAAACGTTCTTCAGCAATGCTTGAGCTTCGTTTGTTTGTTTTTGTTTTTTTGTTTGGTTTTTTTTCAATGTGACATAACTTCTTGGGAGTTTATCTGAAATACAGTGAACAGAACTGCATCAAGTCCATCAGATATACACATACATTTCTACAAATAAAAATCTAGTGATCACAAATACTGCATACTTCCCAGACAAACACAGCAGAAAGGAAATTTACGTCTACGATGCCAAAAAAAGACCAGTATGTTTTATCATCTCTTATCCCCCATCCCATCCTTTTTATTCAGCATTAATACTAAAAATTCCAAGACTTAAAAAGAAAAGACGGTTATTAATAAGATAACCTTCTTTACTTGGGAAACACAGCAACTGAGAACCCGGCAAACTGGTCATCCAAAAGTGAAAGTAAAAGCTGTACAGCTGAAAGGAATTTTTGTCTAGCATGCTTAAAGATCTCCTTTGTTGTTAAACATTTCATTGTCACACTTAAATGTCAGCTTTTTGAGTCTCAGAAGTGTGCAAGCCCTGCAAGACAGCAAACCAGAAACAGACTCGAGATGGAGGTTCTCACAGCTAATGAAATTAAAAGCAAACTCCTCTTCGTGTCTCTCATTCGACTTAAATAACCATACGCTTCGCACAAGACACGACCCTGATCACACAGCCCTGCTCCCCGTACCCATGAAGCAGTTTTTAATGGAGCTCTGTTAATAAGCTTGTATGGTTTTCTACTCTCTGCTCACAAAGCCAGGGCAAAGCCTGTGATGAGTCTCCAGCATATTTTTGTTGCACATCACAGAACCAGTTTGCAGCATTTCAGGACCACACACCTCTTTGCAATGATGCTTTAGTTTTATAAAGACGTACTACTAGATTTTCCTATGGTGAAAACAGGAACCTCCCTCTCCTGAAACAAGCCACACGCTCTTTTTACACTCTCAAAAGGAGTGAGGGGCCCTCAGAGAGGAGCCAGGTCTAAAGCTTTCAGGACGATCCAACATATGGCTGCTGGGTCACCAGTGGCATACGCGGTGGCAGATGGAGAAGTGAAGCTTTCATACCCTCTGAGCAATGCTTTGCAATTTTGACACTTCCCTTGAAAAGCAGAGATGTCAATCACCCTTCCAGGCTGGTGTTTTGGCGCAGAAGGGATTCTCTTCAGGCTGTGCACCAACAGCAAAGGATAACCTACACAGGCTCTTTTGGAGCCAGTTTCTGTCTTGGCTTTCATGTGTAACGAATCCCCACACAGCAGAGAATGATAAATTACTGTTAAGTCGTCTTCACTGCACATCAGCCGCCTTCTGCCTTTTTGGCTCATTAGAGAGCAAAAACCCAGTATGCAATCTTTACCTTCCCCCTGCCCCTCATTTAAAGGGGTTTTAATTAAAATTAGAGCACCTTACTAATCTAACAAATAAAATGTCTTGCGAGAGTGATTTGGCACAAACGGGCTCCAGTACCCAAAAGAGATTCTGGCACATCCCACAATGTAATTGTATTAGTGTGGGCTGCTTTAATACCTACTCCTTGAAGACTTTCCAGAAGTTATTTACCAAGAAGACAAAAACTCCAAACATCTTAAATAGGTCAGAGACATTTGAGCATTTCACTAATCTATATATTTAAAACCACACATAAAAACTGCTTCCTTCCAAAGCAAGCTGCCTTTGACAGCTACTGTTGAAAATCAAATAGCAAGTTTAACTATTGAAAGATCTATGTATTCATAAAGCATAAGAACATCATTCTCAAGCTCACTTACAGAAATTTAGGGGTTGAGATTGGGGGGTTTTTTATTTGTTTTGGGGTTGGTTTTTTGTTTGTTTGGGTTTTGGTAGGTTTTTAAACAAGACTGATGTATCAACAGGATTTCCCTCTTAAAACTTATGGTCCCTTAAGAGTCCTGCAGAAAGAGGCCAATACTCCAATATAACTTCTTATCTATCTTCTTTCCCAAACAAGATGCAAACTTGGTTTTGATCAGAGATTTTTTCAATTCCCACTCATTTTATTACATAACCCCATTAAACCAATGCAGGGGAAAAACAGGAACAGCAGCAAACGACAGCAACTTTTAATTAAAAATCAGGAAGAAAATGAGTTGAGGGAAAACGTAAACAGCTTTAAAGTTTTCCAAATGGTTCTGAAGCTTTTAAAGTGTAAGCTAATGAAGCTTTGGACAGAGACAGAGAGCACTGAAACAGGTCTGCTTCCTGAGCATAAGGTTAAAATGGTGCACATTTCAGCCTAGCAAAGTTCAAGCATCTGCAAGTAGGTCATTCCTATGGCAAGGGAGTTTACACTGCTGGACTGAAAGCCATTCTAGCCTGTACCATAAATACAACTTAGGGTTTCATTCTCCACATAAAAGTGCTTCCAGAAGCCGGTTTTCCTCTTACCCTGCTCTACCAGCTCCAAAAGCTGTACTTAAACCTGCCTGCAAGGTTACCCCTCGCTGCAGAGGCGATGACCAACCCGTTCCACTTAACACTCACTCACACCAGGAAGCAAATTTATTGCTGGGTGGGCTGGTTGCCAGGATAGCAGCTCCCCTCGGGGAATCTCCAGAGCCACAAGAGACACACATCGACCCTTTGCACTGCGGAGAAGGTTTGCAGTGTACACTCTGCTTTGGGGGCCTGCCCGCCGTTCAGCACACAGCCAGAGAGAGCCAGAAGCCAAGGGAAGGGGACACATGAAACAGAGGGAAAGAGGTAGGAGTTTTTAGACCTCTAGCTTCTGGTCCTGCAGCTCTTCGACAGTGTGAGCTTCCTCAATAAATTGTCTTATCACACACAAATAATACCATCAATTTAAAATAAATAAATAGGCAAGCCAATAACAGGCCAGGCTTCTACTGGTCTCTTATTAGCATTACCAGGTTCAGTCTGAAAATACCCGGTTTGCAGCCTGCATCACAAAGTGAGCTGTGCCAGAGCGCTAAGCCTCCTGTGAGAGCACTGGCTGCCACCACACAGCGACAAAACAAACAGCATACCAGCGGCGGGTGAAAATATTTCTTGCTACATACAAAAGCTCACTTCCTGAAATTTATAAGAAGCATTTCCACTGCTTAAAGTTAAAATCAATTTTTGCAGCTGCTCAAATGAGCCTGCTAGCAGAGGCGAGGAAAAAGTCTGCATAACTACTGAACAGCAAAGCCGGGTGAATTACACAGAAAGACTTGCAAAGACAGACCACGCTTCATCGAAGACATCGACCTCTCCCTAAATACTACTCTCTGTGCTGGGGGTTAAATCGTTACATCTGAAGTAATTCCATTTGTACCCAGAACAGCTTCACAACAGAGATTAAACATGTATGATGGCATTTCTTAAGACATGACTCTTGTCATGACAACTAGATAAACATAATTACAGACTACTGTATTTCTGGCAAGAGAAATCTACTGTAACCGATACCACATTATGAACAAGCATCTTTGCTACGTATTGGTTAGGTTCTCCCTTTTGCTGTTCTAAGAAACGCCTTCATGTTTCTATTTACATACTCCTAAAGCAGAATTTAATCCCTGCTGCCCCACCCCTGAGTCTCTCGGGCAAACTATCCCAGCCCTGCCAGTGAAAGATCCCCTCTCTCCCAGCTAAGCCTGATCAGCTGGTTATAGCAGCCAACAAGTGGCTCAGGGGACGGGGAGCTGCGGGGAGCCCCTGTACCAGGTGGAGCTCACAACAGGACACGGCCTGGGAAACGCTGGAGCAAGGCTTCCAAGCTACTGACCTTTCACGCGCATGTCGGCGGGCTGTGGGCTTCTCCGGGAGGATCTCAAGGTTAGCAAGAAGAGATGCAACTTTCAAAAGGGCGAAACGAAGACAGCAGTGGCCTGACACAGACTCTGGCTGCTACACCAAACCTTCCTGGACTGACAGAGGCCAGCAGCTCACATCTGTTTTCTCATGAAAGCAGAACAAGGAAGAGAGGTATCTGGGCAGTACAGCAGGAGATGGCTGTGGTGTGAGTGAGTACACTGATAAAAAGCAGAAGTGATGCGACAGGAACAGCCGCAGACACAGAAACCCAAGTCTGCAGCGAAGAGGTTGCACAGCTGAGGAGCTGAGGTTAAGGCCACTGCTCTAACTGAGCACTGAAACAATTCTCCAAACAAGAATAAAATAGCTGAAAACAACCATGATCACAGGACAGAACTAATCCCATCAATATCACTGCTCTACAGGCAGGACACACGTTTAGTGACTTCCATAACCATTGCTCACCGACTCCCCAGGCTGCTCCTGAGCTCAAGCAGCCATTTCACTCCATCTTCACACGCTGCACTAAATATAAACTCTGCTGATAACTCTCTGGAAACTGTTTCAGCAGAGACACGGTGACTGAACAACTCAAGGACACTGGGACCTCCTCAAAGACCACAGGTGGCCAATTTGCATGACAAATAGAAAGAAGGTGACAGAACTAAAGTCCCTTCTACAGTAATACTGTGCTTGGGAAATTTCAGCCTCCAGATCAGTACTTTCCCACACCCTAACTTCACTGAAACATCTGTGTATGAAAAAAACCCCTTTAAAGTAGGAACCTGAGGGCACCCGGGTTTTGACAACGACTTTTCCAAGAGGAGGTTATGGCCTCTTTGTCATGTGCTACTCTGCACACCATAAAGTGATAATGATCATCTTCGATTTTAAAAGCTAGTTAGATTAGGTTGCAGGTCTTTCAGG